ATTGCCGTCCAACAAAGCGATTGCCATGAAACGCTTGCGCTCCATACTTCAGACGCTTCAGAAAACACCGCACCTTCTGCAAGAATACGACAACATCTTTGCAACACAGGAGCAACAAGGAATCATCGAACTCGTCGATAATGATTCATCAGGGGATGGTTCGTTGATTCACTATATACCGCATCAGCCGGTAGTCACCCCCAAAAAGAAACAACAAAATTGCGCATTGTATTTGATGCTAGTGCACATTTCAAAGAGTGCCCCTCACTTAATGATATACTGCACCAGGGACCACTGATTTTACCGGAATTATATGCAATGCTCCTACGCTTCCGTGTTCCTTCCTATGTAGTCATCTCAGACGTTGAAAAAGCCTTCTTGCAAGTGCACCTCCAGGAAGCTGACCGGGACGTTACGCGATTTCTATGGGTACGAGATATAAATGCACCATTGGATAGCAACAATATTATAACATATCGCTTCACCCGGGTAACCTTCGGCTTGAATGTCTCGCCCTTCTTGTTAGGAGGAACTATCCATCACCACCTTCGTGCGCCGTTCCGGATGTGGACTTGGCAAACGAAATTCGAGAAAACTTATATGTAGACAACCTTCGTTCTCTCAGGCGAACTCCGGAGGAAATTCGTACAAAAGTCCCTGGATGCGCGGAAAATATTTTCTGACATGGGAATGAACTTAAGGGAGTTCACTTCAAACGACCCGTCATTGCGCAACAAGTTACCACTAGAGGCATGCAGTACACCTACCCCGAAAAAAGTCCTTGGTATCCTATGGGATGCAGAAAATGACAACCTTACTATAAGCTGTTCCTTGGCCCCATCTAACATCATTACGAAGAGAATAGTGGCGCGCCAAATCGCTTCCATATACGATCCCTTTGGGTGGCTGGTACCGTTGATTACACCAGCAAAAAAGTTTCAACAAGGATTTATGGAGGCACAAACTCCAGTGGGACAGGGAGTTACCAATCCAAATGCGCCAGAGATGGGAGAATATTGTCAAGAACATGAACGGATTCAGCCGTTCGTTCCCAAGGCGTTTCGGTACTTACCCCAATAAGCTCGAGTTAGCAGTTTTTGCAGATGCAAGTGAGATTGCGCTAGCCACATGCGCCTATTTGTTCAACTCAAGAGGGTCTACTCTAGTTATGGCTAAGAGCAAACTGCCATCAATCAAAACCAAGACGACCATTCCCAAACTCGAAATGAATGCACTAACAATGGCTATGCGCCTTGCACACTCCATTATACAAGCTCTGAGTTCGGGAAAATATCCCTCCCCTAAAAATGTTTACGTTTTTTCGGACTCTCAAATTGCGCTCAGTTGGCTCTCTTCGTCTAAATGTACAAATGTAGGAGTGTTAGTAGAAAACAGAATACAAGAAATACGCAAAATTATTCACCACTTAAATGAAATGGGAGTTAACCTCATGTTCGGTTATGTGCGCACCTTTGAAAACCCAGCGGACGCGGGAACGAGGGGACTGGATCAAGGGCAGATAAACAAGAAGCGACTGGTGGAATGGGCCACAATTCCTGAAAGCGCCTATGAATACTTGGCCCATTGAGTTTTACCCTTCCATGTTTGCACCAGAACCTACCAATGAAGCCTTTCAACCCCAAGAAACCGCATATGCAACCTCCATTTGCACGAGTAACGCCATTAACTGTGAGCTAGTACCGTGGAATCGATACAGTTCCTTTACTACCGGCAATCGCGTCACCGCGCTAGCTCTACGTTTCATAAAAAAGATACTACGCCCATTGGGAATGATCCAAAAGAGAGTTTTGAAGAATATTCCGGAGATGGAGCACATCTCAGACACTTCCCATCCTGTTGCGAGTGGGGAGCTAGAAGCCGCCAAAGTGATATTATTCCGCAATCATCAATCCGTCTATCTGAATCAAGAGTATTGTAAATCCATGCAGAATACACTTCGCCTTTATAAGGATGATCAGGGAATATGGCGATCACGAGGACGCCTGAAACATTCGGAGCTCCCTCAGGCGACTAAAGATCCAGTTTTCATCGTACCAAACACTTTGCTGGCACAACGACTTATCCAAGAAGCCCATGGAGGATACCACAGAGGCATCGAACACACAATATCCACTGTGAGAGAACGTTATTGGATTACCGAAGCTGCGCCAAGCAAGTTCGGAAAATGATCACCCACTGCGTACCCTGTCGGAAATTCAACGCCCTACCATATCACTACCCTGATACGCCGGATCTTCCCAATCGAAGAGTTGTAAGAAGTTATCCATTCCAACACACAGGGTTGGATTTCTTCGACCTCCCTCCCCTGAAGGAGAATGGGTGCAGTTATAAGCTGTACGGGTGCATTTTCACATGTACAGTTACACGCCTCATTCATTTAGAAGTTGTGCGGAGCATGGCCACAAATGAATTCCTTAACGCGCTTAGACGATTTGTTGCGCGCAGAGGCGTACCAGAATCCCTAACCTGTGATAATGCGCCAACCTTTATTTTAAGCGCCAATATCTTGGGGAATCGACCCAACGAATTGCATAGGGATTTGCAACGCATCATAGCTGATAAGGGGATAAAATGGAATCATATAACACCATATGCACCATGGCAAGGTGGGCTCTATGAACGCCTTATTAAGTCTGTGAAGCATGCCCTCTATAAGGCGCTAATGCCTGCACGACAGCGATCATTCGATGATATTCACACAGTCGTCATCGAAATCGAAGCTTGTCTGAATTCTAGACCCCTTACTTATCAAGGATCAGACGCAGGAAGAATTCACTTCGGTGCGCCCAGTGGACTTTATACAACATGATTTGAGAGTAACATTCCCTGAAATTACGACTGACGACGATGATCCTCTTTACTTGCCTCCCGATACGCACCGCACCTGGCAGCATCGCCAACAAGTGGTAGAGGCTCTTCGGTCATCAATTCAGGGAACAGAAAAGTTCTGGAAGATATGGCAACAACAATACCTGACTTCCCTCAGGGAAACACAGAAACGGCTCCCAACTAATTGCAGACTAGGACGAGAAACGCCAACGATAGGTGATGTTGTTCCTCGTAAACGATCCTGTTCTCCCAAGACATGAATGGAAAATGGCACGTGTAACGGATACAAAGAAAGGAAGCGACGGTAAAATTCGCGAAGTGGAACTTCAGTCGGCTAATAAGAGGAAGATGCGCCGTCCAGTGAATCTATTGATACCCCTAGAGGTTCAGGAGGCGACCGAACATTCGACGAGCCCTCAGACCTCAAGCGTGGAACAATCCAGTCCTACGGACACTGACCCTTCAAGCAATACCCATCGTTATTACTTGCGCCGTCGTCAACCAGCTCAAATTGCAGAAAACACCGCCCACAGTATCGCAATAACTAAAGCTAAAATATCCAAAGCGTCAAAATGGTTCCTTTTTCACGTAATGATCCTTTCTTTACTCCAAACGAGTCATAGCTATCAAACAGCTACAACACGACCGCCATGCATAGGTGAGGGTATTGTAAGTGACCCACCTACACCACATTCGTTCAAAATGTGCGCTGACCTGGTTTGCAAAACTAAACGCCCTTCCGACACTCGAGAACTCGCACAATTACTAATAGAAGCTAATTCGCTTTCTCCTCTTAGCCTTCACGGGACAATCTCATTGGGCTGCACACTACTGTACATGACAGTAGCCAGTGGTAAAGCGCTAGGCCTGCCATTCAAGAGTACGGTGCCACTGCTGAACAGATCATCATACCTCATGAGACAGTGCTGCCCAGGACCTTTACACAAGCTTAAAGCACAGCTCCGATCATCAGTGAGCGCCAGGTTGAAATTAGAACTTACCATGAGGGTATTACTGTCTGGAGAAGCAAGCTCCGCCTCCACATCCCGAAAAGGCAACGCGTTGGACTATGCCACACCTTGCACCAACAAAAATGGGATAGCCAGCGTAAAAACAAGCCTAGGATGGCATACTGTATTGCATAGCTCAAACATTCATGTAGGGCTTTCATGCTCACAGCTATGTATGACGTCAACTACAACACCTCCCAAGCTAATATTGTATGATGCCTTTATCACAGATGACATGCATCCAGGCCTAAGCCTCTTTTGTAAAGCCGGAAGGGAAGCAGAAGACCTAGAAGGCATCTTTTGAAAAAGTTTTGATGGGCTTCGTGGTTGTTGCGCTATACATATATTCCTTCCATTTAAAATACATCCCAGTAAGGTATAAGATTACACATCGTTCAACCATCACCATAAGAAAACATGCAACTCCACGTGCGCCGACAGAAAAAATTGGGCCTATTTCAATCATGGAGCAGTTTTATTACTACTATATAGAATGATTTTAATCCTTTAGATCGATCGCCAGTATCACCTCAATTTTCCCGTACTAGGTGCGCCCAAAAAATATTGATGAATATGTCTGCGGAGGTACGAACACCTTTAGGTGCACCTTTCCTGTAATTGTATAATTCTGTTTAGTCTTTTCAGAACATGGAAAAATTCTATGACTTTGAACAAGAGCTTTGCCAAACACAACGCAAGCTCGATCGACTACAGAAGGCCATTCCGCCATTGCCAGAGCCACAGAAGCTGTATGATACCATTGTTTCTCTGTGTTTCGATCACTATACATGCACAGTAGCTGTCACATGCCTGGAAAAGAAAGTCCGCCGCTTATGTCTGTCCTCTAGACCTCCGAAAGAGCGCATTCTTGTCATCGATTCCCTTGTTTTAGAAGCTGATAATCTTCGTTTGCAGTTCTCCTACTGTCGATCTCAATTGCGAACTCTCCATGCAATTCCTCCATTGCTCATTGCCCTGGACAAGACGTCGAGAGGTTTTTTGGGAGAACCTAATGCAACAACCGCAAGAGGTAGACGGAGATGAGACCCCTCCTGATGGACTTAGAACTTATTGAGAACGTGACTTCGGATCATCTGGAAACACTCTGCACGTCTGCGCTCGGACTTGAACAACTTCCGCATGGAGGCCGAAAATATGAAGGAAGAAGATGTCCTCAATTTCGAAGAAGAAGTCCGCAGTAAACTTGCTCATCTTGAACATCTGATAGCGGACTCCAAAGATTCAATAATGAAAGCCCTGGAAACCAGAGATACGTCGCCAAATCGAAGCCACCATGAAGTCATCAACGAACACCACCAAAACGGCGCCAAGGAAATCGCACAGATTCGCGGAGAAGACAGTATAATTGAGGATAACGTGAACTTCATGGAAGGAGTGGAAGAACTCGAAGAATACGAGGAAGAGTCTGAAGAGCAGGATGTAGATGGAGAAGAGTCCGAAGAGGAAGATCACGGTGCAGAGGACGAGAACTTCGTCGAGGAAGTTCACGGCGAAGATGAGAATGAGCGCGAGGAAGCGGTTCTTGAATCGGAAGATGAGGAATCCGAGGAAAATATGTCATGGTAAATAATGAGGATGCCGACCCCCGAGAGGGCGAGATAGAAGGCGAAGCTGTACTCAGGATTGAGCAGGAAATAAGAAGCGCCGAACAAGCCATTCGCAATTTCGAAGAGATATTACGCCAGCTGGACGAAGAGCGCCTGTGTCCCCCCAGAAGGTTTGATCATGGAAACATTAGCAAACACCATGAGCGCTTCATGAGATGCGCTTTCTGTCAAGCTGTGGGGTACCACTACAGCGATTCCTGCACCGCCATCCGTGACGTCGAGATAAGAAGAGAGTTGATCAGGTCGACCAATAGATGCAAACAATGCCTTGAACTTATGTGTTCGCAAGGGTCGGCCTGCAAAAAATATCTCACACTCTGCTTCTACTGCCGGGACCGTGGGCACCACAGCGCACTATGCGATTTCCCAGACTACTGTGATCGAATCCGCGTACGTCAGAACAACGCTTTGGAAGGAAGAAGACGGAACATCGTCAGGCTAGAAAACCTCAGACGTGAGCTAAGACTCTACGGCATTCGACCATGATTTCGGTGAATTGGCTAATCGTCACCTTAGGCACAGCCCCGCCGCTAACCCCCCCCCCCTTTTTTGCGCCACTCGGGGCCGGGAGTATCGTGACTATATCACGATCATGAGAAGTGATCAAAGCAGAGCAAACCCAGCGATCGCGCGCCAGGGGAATAAATAAAAGGCCGTGGGTGGCCGCGATGGGGGCTGCCATTTAATTACTTCATTCTAATTGATTCATTGTTGTTATCGTTTGTTATTGTTTGCACCTATTCTGTTTTAATAATAAAATTGTTGTTAAGACTGTGCGCCTTGTATTTGATAGTGTGGTGTTACGCGTAGTGGTATCCCCCACGGCATATCGACTTATATTTCTGCACTATTTTCCGCGTGGCGACTGAGCGAGGGAGAAGCCCCTCGTTATTATAGGACCTAAATTGATGTAGACTTACCAGGAAGGTCTTTCAGGGCGTGCCAAGCTTTTTGAAAACGGTCTTTTGCATGATATAGGGGCACATGGGAACCACAGAACCATGGTTAATTTTTCCTGAACGGCCCTCTGAATACCAGAAAAGGGGTCCCTAGTTCGATTTTTGCAAATTTTGCATTTCGAGTTGACGTTTCAAATTCGCCATACAAGAACCGTCAGTTAGCCACTGTTAAAAAGGTGCGAAATCTAAGTGGGGGCCGAAGGGTTACCGACGGTTCTATGTATGTATGGTACTAATTATTCATGCTAACTCCATTTTGCGCGAATTTTGGAAACGTCAACTCGAAATGCAAATTTGTCACCACGAGGAATCGAACTAGGGACCCCCTTTTCTGGTATTCAGAGGGCCGTTCAGGAAAAATTAACATGGTTCTGTGGTTCCCGCATGTGCCCCTATATCATGCAAAAGACCGTTTTCAAAAAGCTTGGCACGCCCTGAAAGACCTTCCTGGTTAAATGCATATCCCAAATGCGTGAATACTCCGCTCTGAAGTATAGTGGAAGTGTGAGGAAGAGCGCCAGCGAAGAAAAAATGTGAAAGGCACCATTGATAACTCCAAATGAAGAGCTTCCTTCGTGAAATGAACGGCTCCACGATGAAAAGGCACAGCACGTGGAGGAGAGGCAACAAATGAGGGAGCATAACCGCGATATGCAGACATTCCATATTTTCAGTAAAATGAGGAATGAAGGGTAGTAACGAGTTACAACACATATTAACGCCCTAGAAACCGCCGTAATATCTCACAATATGATAATATCAGCGCATTTGGAATTTGTTGTGGAGCAAATTTGAATTTGAAGGGCAAATTTGGAGTTTGTTGTGGGGGGGGGGCAGTAAAAAAAGACATTTTGCCTATATCCACCCCACCTTTTTTTGCCTCCGGGACTTCTTGGAGCCGAGTTATGAATTTTCGTCGCAAACTCCGCCCACTTTGGTCAAGCCCCGCCCACCGATGACAGCTGGCCTCCACTCCTCCACCCACCTCTATCCACCTTTTTCCGGCTCTTTAAGACTTCCCCGGCCCGAATTATGAGGACTTGTAGAAAATGCTGTACACTTCAGAGCGCGCCCCGCCCATTGTGGGCGGGCCTCCGCCCACGTCATGTATGCTGGAAACACCTTAGACATTGCTCCCTACACCAATTTGTTTTCTGCTCTGTAGGCTTTCTCCCAACCGAGTTATGAAATTTTTCATAAAGCACTGCTTTTTTGGAGAACGCCCCGCCCACCGTGGGTCTCCCTAATTCGATGTGACTTACCAATGCACACCTTTACCCACTTTTTGGCCCAGTTTCGAGGTGTTTTGTCACTGAAATGAAATCTTGGTCGTCAGTACAGTTCATTTCGACGCACGCCACGCCCACTGTGGGCGGGGCTCCGCTTAGCTGATGTGTGTTTTGTACTTCGTGAGACCTTGCCCACCCATCCCACACTTGACCCGGTCCCTCCAGGAGCTAGGGAATTTCGTGACAGACATACAGACAGACGACAGACGACAGACGAAGCGCTTTATAGTAAGTAGGATCATTAGGAGAACCGAGGCACCAGTTGGCAGAGATTCGGTAGCGCAGTTGGTAGCGGTCTTGCTTCTCATGTAAGGGTCGGCGGGTTCGGTCCCTTACGGGTTTGGTGTTTTGCTTTTTTTCCAACATGGCTGAAAAGCCTTTTTTGAATCTGTTATTTTACCAACGGTCGCCCGACGCTACATCTACGAAGAGTTTGCAAGCAGACCCTCTTAAACTTAAGCACTACTTGTCTGTGAGTGCCCATGGTGCCCGTAGTGCAGGTGCTATGCTTTTCCGTGGCAAGTAGGTACGATATTCGTATTCAGGGGATCAAACTACCCCTAAAAACGAGTTTCTTGCCAAACCTGAGGTCATGAACTAATTGAGAAAAAGCGGAGCAGTGATGGGATTACCACTCCTCAAACTCCACTTTTTTGGGTTGACCAATCATGGACGACGGGGGAAGGGGAGAGAAGGTGTTGTATTAGGAAATAATGCTTTGCAGATCTTTGGATGATGCAGACGGGCAAGCCAGACCTAATTTTTGTTTATTATGGAAAGTGTGGGGCGGAAGTGGTGTAG